CCCCCTTTTTTTTTTTTTTTTTTTTTTTTTTTTTTGTCTTTTGTCTTTTTCCGTGTCCGGCAACGGATCGCAACCCTCAGTGTTGCCCCCGTACCGGGGACCGGCAACAGGATTGCAACCCTCGGCGTTGCTCCTGCGCCTCGCTCAGCCAGTGAGCGGGAACCGGTCTGTATGTGGGATCCGAACCCTCGGGCGGGAGCGCCGCCGTGCTTCCCAAGCGGCGCACCATCCAGTGCGCCACCGGGCCGGCCCCTGCCTTACACTCTTAAGGGAGAGTTTTAAAGTAGCTACCTCATTGTTGGTATTATACCTTATTTTTGTGTTAGATTAGTAAGAATTATAAAGTAAGTAATAAACTTACCTAAGCTTCCAAGTAATAAATATATCTAAACTTCTGGATTGTTCTTGAATAATGCTAAGAAATAGGGAAGGAATTGATCTGTGTTTCTGATGAAATTTAATTTAAGATTTCTGTTGATTGTCTTACCAGTCTATTACTAATACTTAGTTCAGGTTTTCAGATTTACTGTTTTGGCTACTTGAAGATATCTAGTTACGTTATGTTTTGTATGTTAAAGCTCTTACCTTTTCAGCAATAAAAATAGCTGGTTTTTTTGGCCATAAATACAGAAAAAACAGAAAATTAAGCAAAATTTACTTCAGATCCTCCCATCTACTGATATCTTCACTATTTTACTGTTAACATTTTGATGTTTCTCCTTAGTGAAATATCTCTATGCATACATATTTAACAAATTTTACAAATATGCTATGACCTTTTCTTACCCAACAATGTTTCTACTGTATATTAAAGCCCTATAATATGTATTTAAATATTAATTATAATAATTTTGTTGTTGTTGGCTGGTACAGGGATCAAACTCTGGACCTTGGTATTGTCAGCACCATGCTCTAACCAACTGAGGTAACCAACTGAGGTATTGGGCCAGCCCAATACATCTAATTCTTAAACTTGTCTGTTGCCCATCTGCCATACAAAATTTGTGATGGTTCTGTTTTGCCACATTTGAGCTCAATTATAAAAGAAGGGAAAAGAAACAAGGGACCATTAGCTTAGTGCTTCTCATCCTTTTTTCTGTCATGTTACACCTACACTTTAGGGATGTGACATAGTGACCATTAACTGTAACAGTGACCCTCAGTAGATGGGTCGTGTGGAGGGGAAAAGGGTTTTTAAATCTTAGATACCTTTAATTATAAAGAGCCCTCTAGATGATTTTAATGTCCTCTCACCTTGTGAATCATTGAGGCACAAGATAAATGTTCAAATGATATATGGCAGCAGAAAGGGGAAATACTTTTTCTTCATTTGACACTTAAGTTGTCAGAAAGTAAAGTATAACACCAAAAATATGTCATTCCTAAATATAAAATAATAGTACATTCTCAGTTTTTGTAGTTTGGTGTTGAATTGTAAATATCAGAAGAGAAAAAATGAGTTTGCTTTCTTTAGTTTTATGATTAAGTGTCAATGTAGCATAGGTCTTAGAAACTGTCTCTGGGGCCGGCCCGGTGGCGCACTGGAGAGTGCACCGCTTGGGAGTGCGGCGGCGCTCCCGCCGAGGGTTCGGATCCCATGTGGAGACCGGTTCCCACTCACTGGCTGAGCGCGGTGCGGGCGCAACACTGAGGGTTGCAATCCCGTTGCCGGTCCCCGGTATGGGCGCGACACTGAGGGTCGCGATCCCGTTACCGGTCAGTAAAAAAGACAAAAAGGAAAAAAAAAAAAAAGAAACTGTCTCTGTACTCCTAGGGTATCAGGTTCTTTTTTGTTTTTTTTGTAAAAATGAAATTGGTAAATTTTTTGGAGTATGTGCTGGTGGTATGTCAGTGCCCAGATATGAGGTTTTTCGTATGTATTTAGATAATTAAGCATCATAGTGCATCATATTTAAATATTATCCAATCTCAAATTATGGTTACTAAAAAAATCACAAGTTCAGGTAAACTTCTATTTACCTGAAAAGTGGCTGAGATATAATTTCTTATTATAAGAAATATTTTGGTATAATTATACGTGAATAAATACTTCCCTTTAAAGGCTCAAGAGTAGATTGACAGTATATAAGGGTGTGTGTATATATGTATAAAATTTGAGGTTACTGGATTTATTATTGAATTAGCTAGCCACCAACATACCTTGCTAATGATGCTGAAAACATACCCATCACTTAGATGGTTTTTATTATCAAGTGACTCTGAAATGTTCATTTTAATGAGGAAAAATGCTATTGGCATATTTGTTTATTTTGAAATAATTAAGGCAGTTGTTTATGTCTCTACTTTAGAACCTTTGTGGAAAAAAAAACCAGTGCTGTATCCTTTCTAATTATCAAGCTAGATTTAAAGGCAAGATATTTGAATCTTCTGAAAAGACAACAGTTGGTACTTAGCGCTTCAGTTCAGTGCAAGTGGAACAGTCCACAGGATTTTAATGCCAAAAAAACCATATGTGCTGAAGTAGGGTGAACACTGCCTTATCAAGATTCCACCCCTTGCCCTAATTAGACACCAGTGCTGGCAGGAATATATTCTTCCTGCACCCACTATAATTACACACAATCCTAAAATTGTGTAACTTTGGTCCAAAACGCGAAGGGTGTAATTTTAAAGTAAAGTAAAACACTGCAGTGAGATATAGAGACTGAGAATGCTAATTAATAGATTATAGTCAGCCAGTAGTGGGACTTAATTAAACTCTGCATTCATTATACCCTCCATAGCCCTCAGAGGTCAGACGTTTTCCACTTTATAAAAAAGGTTGGTTTAATAGGATTTACAGTAATTAAACAAATTTTCCCATTTCAGCTTGAGACTGCGGATTTAGGTCCATTCTAAATGTTTGATCCTGTTGGGCCACAGAGATCTCAGTCCAGAATGCTATCAAATGTAGAAACACATTTGCTTAGAATTGCTTGATGTGTATGGTTCATTATTTTGGAGTCCTTTTAGAAGATTGTTTCTAAAATAAATTCCCAGCTGTTTTTATGTCTCACACTCCTTTGTTACTGAATGTTCAAATACTGGCAGTTGGAAAGTTAGAACAATATATATGTCGAACAATATATAGAACAATATATCAGGGAAGGCTTTTTCTTTTCTCTATTTAAATTGAGAATAAGGAAGGCTTTTAGTGTATGTTTGCTTGATGAAGAATAAAAGTCCAACTGTGAGCTTGGCGGAATTGCAGTGCTAATAAAGCTTTGGACGATTATATATATATATATATTTTTTTTTTTTTTTTTGTCTTTTTCATGACCGGTAAGGGGATCGCAACCCTTGGTGTAATGTCGCCCACACCGCGCTCAGCCCGTGAGCGCACCGGCCATTCCTATATAGGATCCGAACCCGTGGCGGGAGCGTCGCTGAGCTCCCAGCACCGCACTCTCCCGAGTGCGCCACGGGCTCGGCCTGACAATATTTTTTATTTTGTTCTAACCATCATCTAATCAGATACCATCATACTTATTTCTTGATTATGCCTTGTAAATAATTCTGTATGTTGGATTTAGTTGGAATCTTATTTTAAAAATAATTATTT